TTCTAATAAAGTAATAATGAATACTACCAATAAAATAATAATAAATAATAGCAAAAATGATCACCATAACAATAATAATACCACCACTAATAATGATAAAAATAAACCTAAAGTAATGGGAGATTAGAGTATAGGCTCCCCATGTGAATGACAAGGTACCAATTTCTGGCCTTAATGGGATATTTTGAATCAGTCTGAGGTCTGCACAAAGGAAAAAAAAAATTAAGGCAGAAAGTAGCAGCAGAGAGGAATAGAAAACCAAGGAGGAGGAGGACATGGGTGAACTTGGGAACTCTTGCACAAACCTGGAGGGGTGTCCTAAGGGATGGAGATAAACAGACTTTGGTCCTGAACTTTCCCATCATTCCATACCCACCAGAATTTAGAAGTTGCCCCCCATCCCGCCATGATGCAGCTGGCTCCATGCAAGGAATGCGGGACTCCAGACCCACACACAGTGTGCAGAAGCCCCTACCATACCTACATTAAGGCCCTGCATTATCTCAGCCTTCACTGCCTGGATGCCTTTCTGCCAGGGGTTTCTCACAGAACCCTGGAGGTCCAGACATCCTGCTTCCGCATATCTCAGCAAGCTGCTATTGGAAGGTGTCTTCAACAGTTGTTCCTAGACCAGCAGGGGGCAACACAGGCCAACAGGAGTGGGTCATGGACTTCTGACCAACCTGCAACATTCTGCATTTGCTCAGGCTGGAGGGTCACCATTTCCATGCATTCCAGTGCAGTCCCAGCACTGCCAGAACACCTGAAGGGACAGAATATTTCCAGAGGCTCAGGTGGGCCTTGGACACACCTGTGCCTCAAGTGTTGACAATAGCAGTTTCTGGGCTCTGAGCTGACATGAAAAATTCTAAGGAGGCACATGCTTGTGTAGACACCTTCCCCAACATTGCTAGAAAAATGAGCAGTTCCCACAACCCTGAATAGAATTAGAAAATGTTGTGATGGCTCTGGCAGCTCCAGGACTCCCTCCCTGGGTCATCAAGGCCAGGACAAGAAGTTGCTGGCACCGAAGGGAACTTGCTAAATTTTAGGGGCTCAGGCAGTTCAAGGGCATCCTCCCTCAGGACTCCCTGACATCATGAGCCTTACTCTGCCTACAGAGGGCTTTCAGGAATACCATGGATGCCATTTATGACTTGTCCATGCCTGCAGGAGCAGACCCTGTGCCCCCAAGTTGGTTTAGAAAACTTTGTGGTGACTCTGATGGCCAAGGATACCCTCACTGGAACTTGCAGGCCAGCAAAGGTGGTTGCTGGGTCCTCCAGGGTACTGTTACACTGTTCTGGAGGCTCTGGCAATAAAAGGACTCCCAGGCAGCAAAGGGAAAACATGTGAGCAGCTGTGTATATGCACGTCTATCATCATCTTCAGTAAATCAAACTGCCTTTGTAAATAGAGAAGCTCAATTCAATGTTGTTTAATCACCACGAAAATGATCCTAGACTAAAAATGGTACTAAAAATTAATGATGAATAACAACCAGGACCACTACGATGATGCCCAAAATAACATAAATACTAGTAATTTTAATAATTATAGTGATAGTAAACTAAGGAGACAGAGATTATAGCACAGATTCCTCTAAGTGAATAACAACAAGTCATTGATATGGGGTGAGTGTGGAGTCAGAGTCCTAGGATTGCACCATGAAAAGTGGTCCATGATTGCAAACATGAGCAACAGGAGGAAAAATGTAAACAACTATCAGGAAGCTATGGGGAGCATAGGGACTCGTGCAAGAGGAAAATTAAACAGAGGCTGAAGAACTCTGGTCCTGCATGCCACAGGATACTCAGCAGCTTTCAGTAATTCGGCCAGATGGCTGGTTGGGCAAGGCTCCCTGCAAGGAAGACAGAAGCTCCGGAGCCACATCTGTCTCACACCGCAGGCAGACATGCTGTCTTAAAGGAACTTTAAACCCCAGCGCTACCTCAGCCCTCACCACTTGACTGCGCTTTTGCCACCTGATCTGCCCAGGCCCCTCATGGTTGGGACATCTAGGTTCCATATCTCTGCCTGGGTCTGTTGGAAGGCGTAATCTTATGTGCTACCTGGACAGCAGGGGGCGACATGGGCCAGTAGCAGTGGTTCCTCAGGGCCCCTGGAAGACACAGAGAATTCTGCTCTTAGGTGGCCGGTCATCCACCCTGAGCCTTGTAGTGCAGCTAAATAAAGCCTTTCCTACATGCTCAGACTTAAACCATTTCCAGAACCTCAGGCATCATAGGATGCCCTCCATGTGCATTCTTTGTTAGTAATAGCAGCTCCCAGAATGGAAAACTGATTATAAAAGTTTGTAGAAGCTTTGGAGGGCCTGGGACACCCTCTCCTGCCATTCCAGGTAGGAACCAGTGGTTCTGCCCCTCTCCCCAGGTGATTTAGAAAAATTCCTTTAGGAGGGTCCCTGATGCTATCCACTGTAGTCCATGCAGTCAGGAGCAGTTCCTGGGCCCCACAGTTGACTTAGAAAGTTTTAGAAAGTTTTGTGGTTGCTCTGGCCGGCAGGGGTTCCCTCGCTTTGGCCTGCAGGCCAGGACAAGTGGTTGCTGGGCCCTCGGGGGTACTTCTAAATGTTTGCAGGGCCTAAGCCTGAACAGAGATGCCCTCCCCAAATTTCCCCTGCTGGCCTGAGCTGGGCCCTGCCTCCAGAGGGGACTATGAACATTTCAAGAAACTCATCAGTTTCTAGCTCAACTCAGGGACCCAGCCGGGAGTGCTCTAGCCTTCTTGGAAAGGCTGGAGAGAGGTTCCCACCCACCTGATCCTCTGCAGAATTTTCTATCCTCAGGACCTCAGGATCTGATGTTTTCTAAAGTAGATGTGTAGGGGCAGCTTATAAAGCCCACCAGAGACTCTGGAAATGCTCTACATTTTCTTGGGTGCCACAGGAATTCTGGTGCTGTACTGGAAGGCAAGGCGACTGGGGTCCGCTAGCCCTGGCTTGGCTTGGTCTGAAGCAGCGGTTCTCAACCTGTGGGTCGCGACCCCTTTGGGGGTCGAACGACCCTTTCACAGGGGTCGCTGGGTACTCGCATGTGGGCGTATCTGCATGTGGGTCTGGAGACGGATAGAGGAGCGGTGTCTCGGTTCCTAAGACCATCGAAAATACGTGTTTTCTGATGGTCATAGGTGACCCCTGTGAAAGGTTGAGAACCACTGGTCTGAAGGATCTTCTTTCACGATGGCTGTCTCATGTGGCTGTTAACAAGAGGCCTTAGTTCCTTACCATGTGGACACTTCCACAGTCTTGCTTGAATATCTTCATGAAATGTAAGCTCGTTTCACCCAGACTGAGTCCAATAGCACAGGACTGAAGCTGTAATGTCTCTTATGACTTAGCCTTAGAACTTATACTCCATCATTTCTGCAATATCCCATTTGGTTACACAAGTCAGCCTCCTTCAGGATGGAAGGGAACTGCATAAGGGTATGAATACTAGGACGGAAGATCACTAAGAGCCATTTTGGAGGCTGTCTACCAGTTGAACTTCACTTACTAGTCCAGATCTTAATAAATGTTATTACCATATACTTAAGCACTCAGGTTAAAAATATTGGATTACTCATATATGTGCACTTTCTTTATATATATCATTATGCCCCAATAATTTGTATCTCATTTTCCCTCCCTTCTCTCTATACAGTTTGGAGCCTCATCTAGCCTCTATTACTGCAATAGCCTTCTTCCAAACAGATTGCTCAGTCAATTTAGTCACAGGCCAATTCCTGAGTATTCTTTATAAAACTAGAATCTAATTTTGCATGGATTAAGGAATGTGCTTCACCCCTCCGTGCTGCGAACACACATGTGCAAGTGTGTGTGCGCGCGCGCGCACACACACACACACACACACACACACACACACACACACAGTGTCCTGCTGTCACTCATAAAAGCCAACCATGAGATTTATTCTAAGACACAGAACTTAGAATACTCTAATATTAGAGCTAGAAAGAAGTTTACAGGTGATCTAAGTTAGTATTTAACAATGAGTGTTCCAAAATAAATTTCAGAATAGCCACTACCTGGGAAATTTGTTAAAAATGCAGACTTCTAGCTCCACTTCACCTTACCAAACTAAAATTCCTGGAGTGGATCTAAGTGTATGCATTTTAAAGCAACTTTCCCTGTTGATTTTATGCACAATAATAACTGAGAGTCCCCTGATCTACATTCAACAGAGCTAGACCTACATAGGTGCTACTGAGATTCAAGGAAGACAATTTTCCCACCTGTAACCATACCTCTAGATAGTAGCAGGTCTAAGATTTAGAACTTAAATCCAGACCTGCTACCTCCATGTTCAGTGGCATTTCACTGCCCTGCAGTTTTACACTCAATGAGGAGGATTTGAGAGTATATGACCACATGATTCAACTTTCTCGTCAGTTCTGAGAAGCCAAGCATGATGTTAGCAAGCAAGAAGCTCACACAGTAGTGGGAGAAGTAAATGTACGTACAGCAAACTAACACACGGTATGGTGAGCACTATACCCTGAGCAAGCATTGTGCGTGTTCAGACCAGGAGTGAGAGGGTGATTCATTATTAACAGGGCGAGTAAAGCCTGGGAAGTATTCACTAACAAAATGTCTAGTCACCAACCAAACTGGCTGGTTTCTCAACATAGTCTGATTCACTGTAACTTAATATAGATAGCTCTTTGTTCAGAGACTTTTCATCTGTTGCCAAAGTGTTTGTAGCTTATGTTCCCATTTAACAAGGTTTTCTCGTCAAAGCTGTGTGCCCACATCCTCCTAATGATCTGAGTGTCCAACGAAACAAGGATTCCCAGTCTCTTTATGAAGGCCACTCTGTATACATAGAACTCGTCTGTCCATGAACATCCCTAATGAAGTACAGAGGGGCACCTATTATCCAGACAAAGACATGCCATTCTGCTGCTGCTAGACAGCCGCAGACGGAAGTTTGCTCTGCCTCTTGGAAATGAAGCCAAGCTTTCTCCTCTCTCCAGCCATGAGGATGGCTGGCCTCCTCTTTACCATTCTCTTCTTTATGAGCCAAGTTCTACCAGGTAACAAACAAACAAACAAACAAACAAACTGTGGAAGCCTTGGTGAGAGTAGAGTGCCTAAGGCCTGATGGAGATCCAGCACTCAGAGCAAAATCCCCATCACCAAAGCCTTGAGAAGGGGTCTCAGAGCAAATCTAGAAGACCCATTGGCTGAGAGCCCTGTAGCCACCTATCTCATTAGCTCTTTGCAGCCACTCACAGTTAGAAGAAATGAAGTTGAGGGTGTTTCAAGTGTTTGAAACCCTTTTTGCTCCATCTCTAGAGATGAATTTAATTAGGCAAGTTTACTAGCAGTTGTGAGATCTAGATAACAGAAAATGGCATGTTATCTTACTAAATCTTGGTCTCCAAAGCTCTTTTACTTACTTTTCAGCGAAAGACAGTTATTCTAACTTACTGGCCTAAAAAATATGCCGAAGCTATAGGGGCCTAGGAAGAAGGGATTGGTGAGGCGTGGGCGTAGGTGGGGGGGGGGTGAGGTATCTCTTTGAAAGGTTTACTGTAATTCTAAGAAATCTCCAGCCCACTGGCCCACAATACTGTAGGCCCCCTGGGCTTGACTCTGCCCCTTGATGCTCTATCTCAACCCCTGGCTTTTCCTCTTCCTTTTCAACATCTAGTCTTTTATAATAGAACTTAAACCCGGGGATCAGAGATGACACTGCTGTAGAGTGTATCTTCCTGCATCCAGCATGCACACCTGGATCACAGGTATAAGGCACCTTGATTAGATAGGAATCTGTGTGTGACCAGACACCCAAAATAGATCAGGAGATTTCCTAGAACTCCTGGATGTATAGCTCCAAGCAGGAATGAGCAAGTTATTGCTCTACATCAAGTGGAATATCTTCTTTTTTCCTGAGAATTCAGGGCCTCACCGGTTGGAAAGGAGTAGGAAGGTAGTCATAGATATGTAAATGTGGACAATCCTCATATATATATATATATATATTTTTAATTTTTTAAAAAGATTTTTATTGGGGAATTGGGGGGATGGGAACAGTGCTGGGAAATTGGGGGAAGGGGAACAGACAAGTTGCTGTCCTTTTGTTCTTCAGTCTAGTTGTGGAGGATGTTGCTTCACTGGCCCAAGTTGGCACCATCATTGCGCTCTTCCCGGGGGAGACAGATCAGTCGCCGGCTTCTGGACTGCCGCTCACTGTGGCTGCTGGCCGCTCACGCTGGCTGCTGGCTACACATGGTAGCCCATGGCAACCCACTACCACAGGGGCTGCAGCCTACGCCGTCGCTGGGGACTCTCGGCAGCCCAGCTCCAGGTTGAGCTGTTGTTAAGCATCTTAGCTATGGAGGGCAGTGTCACTGGCCCTCATATGTGGGATCTGAACCAGGGCCCTCTGGCATCCCAAGTCAGTCTTAACCATCGCGCCACTCAGCCGGCCCAATCCTGTTATATTTTAAGGAACTGTAGATTGCTATGGTTTCTATTGTTTGAAAAAGGACAGTTTCCAAAATTTTCAACAGAAAATATAATGGGAGGCATGCCTATTCTTGGAGAACTCACACTTTCCTATCTAAATCTGTTTTAACGGGCTACTTACTGCTAATGGGGTAGATAGTATTTCAGATTTGGGGGGTTGGAGTGAACGGGTGCAGCCTGTGAGGCAAATTCTAACTTTGCTTTAGAACAACTAATCTGGAGGAAGTAGAGTGGAGAGATTAAAGTGGGGAGAAACTGGAGGTGGGAAAACAGTTCCGCTTATTAGATATCTGTCAAGCAGCACTGTGTGCCCTTACTAGGAAGCAGGCATACCAACAAAAAAAAAGACATGATGGCCCTTGACTTCCTAGAAGTCATAGGCTGGACACCATCATTGCTATATAGTCCAGAGAGGAGTCAACAAACCCCCAAAATAGAGCATTAACACAGGATGAATGAGATGTTTCCCAAGTGAGAACTATGAGAGCAATAAATCACAACCAAAAAAAAAAAAAGGCAAAAGCTAAAAGCAACACAATGTTTGAGAGCTTAAGGCACTAGGCCTTCAAGGACCTGATTGTAGGAGCCAGCTTTGGAAGGAAAATCATCACATTAATTCAGTGCTAAGAGTGTTTGAGGTTGTCTTTTCATGGTTTTCATCTGCCTCTTTCCCTTAGTGTGTGTGTGTGTGTGTGTGTGTGTGTGTGTGTGTGTGCGCACGCGCATATGTGTGAGTGTGTGTCTTTGCATATGTGTGAAGTATATCCACTACCCTATACTCTATAAGGGTGTGGCGATGAATGTCAGGATGGTCTGGAACTACAGCCCCTGAGGTAGAATTAAGCTACCCCACCCCATTATGAAGAGCTGATATGTAAGAGACTCATTGAACACAGTATATAAATTAACTTGAATATGCTTCCTCTTTTTATAATGGGGAGAATTAGTATTTTTTAAACAAATACAGAAGTATTTTTTAACAAAAGGACAGTTATGCCTGTTACAATTAGCAGGGAAACTACAATAGCTACAGGTACCGTAAAATTATGCGTTGATAAGATTTGAAGAGGTCTTGATGATTGGGTCTATTTTTCTTATTGTATAGAGTTAAAAATCAAGGCCCTGAAAAGTGAAGTCTCTGCTGCAAAATGAAAGAGTAAGCTGTCAGTCAAGGCTTGGTCTTCAGTCTTGGCTTTCACTACACATTCCACCCTATGGTTCCGTTAGGCCGCTTCCTTCATGTGACTCTCTCCAAAGACTTGTTAAAGATAAAGCCATATCCAGTTATATTAACTGAGGAGTGCACAAAGCTGGCGACTTCAACTTAAAAGATAACTGTCCACATATCATTACTAATGGCCCATCTGATTAGTATTTACTAAGTAATCATGGTTGCTAAACATATGCATTAGATGAAAGAAAGTAAATTAAAATGTATGTCTGGTATCCATATCTCCAGGAAATTAATGCTTTTAACTAAGTTTCAAAACTTCCAAATTTTGAAAACGAATTTATTTATTTTTGTTTGTTTTCATTGTCACTCGACCCAAATAAAGGAAAGTAATGTGTGATGGTTAGAAGAGCAGAGGCAAAAGCACTACTTATAGCCTAAATGGAATGCACCAGGACTAGAGAAGAAAAAATAGGACACAGGTAAAGAAAGAATAGTCTCCATGGGGAGTGAGATCTCTCCTGCTGTCCTTAGGTGGTCATTTGCAGCAGGACTGCAGATTTTCTTGGGGAGATAGAGGAAGATAAGGAGAGGAAAGAGGGAAAATGGAATGGGGCCGAAGACACAAGCTTTAGGTCTGCCCCTCTCCTCCCTCTCACTAAATCACTATTGATTTGGGGCAAGTTGCTTCCTTTCGCTCTGCCTCATTTCCTCATCTAATAAAAGTAAAATAACTAATGGGACAAAATCATCTACTATGTTCCCAGTAACTCTAACTTTTGTTTCCAAAACAAATAGCTAGACATGACAGTGTGCCCACAGCATGCAATATACAAGAGTCACCTGAAAAGAACTGATGAAAACAATAAAGTAAGAAAAATACCCTTGATATGACTTGGATTCTTACACACAAGTAACAGTGTGTCATCCTTTTACAAAGCTCCTTTGTGATTTGAAAACAAAATGCTCAGTAGTCAACTACAGCAAAGCTGCACACATAACTCCAAGACACATGCAATGAAAGTAACAACAAATTTCCATACAACATGTACATGTATATGTATACGCACAGGTATATGTACAGAGAAGAATAAGATGTGATTTCCGCTTTCAAGGAATTCATCATCCAGAAGTAAGGTCAGGGGGGAAACAACACCATAATAGAAAAACGAAGTTCCACAATAAAGGGATGTCCAAAAGTGTTTTATCACATGTCACAGGGCACATCATGGTTCATCCTCTAACATACTAATCTCAGATGTCTCTTTCAGCAGCAATAGACCAATTTTAGCCCAAGGTAATTGGAGCATATATATACAGTAGCTGAGCTGGATACAGATAACAGGAAGAGATGTATAGCCCAGGAAAGAAAAAAACTCAAATTCCAAGTGATTTCTACACAATGCTTTAAATTGATTTTTAAAAAATACCCTTTAAATTATTTTCCAATTCACATTTTAAGTAAAATATTGTATATATGAACTTCATATCCATTAACTAATTTCTTTGTGGACATTAAAGAGTTAAATTCAATTTAATGCATTTGAATTTCAGTTTAATTCAATAGGCATTTGTTGAATGTATATAGATGCCCTATAGTGAATTGAAGCTATTCAAGAATTGACCTTTGTGTTCCAGAATTGAAAAACCTAAATGCGCTGGTTTTGATATCTCTCTTACTGCCATCAAAGAGCTTAAGAAGCTGTCATGGAAAAGGAGCACTTTGTTATATATGGAGACCACTCAGAATTAAACCACTTTGAAACTGAGCCTCTTGGGGTGTGTGGCCCACCCATAGTACAATAATATATTAGGATATAAATCAAATTCTATTCATTGTTTTCAGCCAGTATATTTGTTCAGCCCTCAAGAAGAACTCTCAACATATGCAATGGTTTCTGGAGCACGATTGCAACCTTAAAAACCAGTGCCAGAAACATAAGGAGTGAGTACAGCATCAGGATTGAATAAATACTGATGTGGACACTACCTGCATATTAAATATGTAGCAGTGTCCCCTCCCCCCCCAGAAAAATATCCTCTCTAACAATTGCTATGAAGTATATTACCTTTTAGATTGATATTCTATTGCACTTTTGAAAGATATTGGGGGTGGGGGAGACAGAGAGAGAGAGAGAAAGAGAGAGAGAGAGATTGAGAAATTGAGATTTCTCTAAAAATTTTCTTCTACTCTACAAAAATCAGCAGCATAGGACTGATAATAAGTAAAAAACGGATCTGTGCCATCAGCATTAGGAGATAATAAGGAGTAAGAAAGCCTGGGATAAGCTAGGGTATGTATGCCCTAGAAATTCTAAGGGTGCAGGGCTACCCAAGGGTTCAGGGCTAGCCTTTTGTTACTTAGATACACCCAATATTGCCAGATTTTTCCAGAATGCCAAAAATCCAAATTTTTCTGTAAAGGCAGATTCTTAAGTGTTGGCTTAAGAAATCAAATAATAACAACAACAACAACAACAAAAATCCACATAAAATTGTTTCCAGACACTTTCCCCACTCCGTGTAATTCAATTAAAATTAAATAGTTATAATAACTTTCTTCTCTGTGCAGCCATGGGCAAATTCAAGGAGATGTGTGAGCATCCCAACGGCTCCTGCCAAAAATTTTTCCGTGAAACAGAAATTCACATTGGGAAGTGTTTAAATGGCAGACGGTGCTGCCTGCCCATGGGGCATCGACCACAAATCAAACAGAGTCCTCCCAGGAAGGGTTGAAACCTTTGTGAAGTGTTGGTTTGTTTGGATGTTTTATTCTCTCACACTGTCCTGCTCTCTCCACTCTCTCTCTTTTCTCTCACCTGGATTGTTATTGAGTCCTCAACAAATAATAAAGCAAAACTAGCAAACACAAAACCTATTTTACAAATTCACATAGTGTATTTTCACTCCATTGCTGTTTGGTTGCCATCTCTCTGTCTGGTTTGAGTGAGCCCCCGGTTGATCTCCAGGTTGGGTGGGGCACTTTTATATACCTATCTATCATTTGTGCCAGGCACCGCCCTCTACCCTTCATCCAGGGGGCTACTCCCCTTTCCCCCTGAGAAAGCGTACTACCTCATTCCATTCAGCCTTGTGGGGGCACCCTCCCTGACTAAAGGCAGCACACAGGAAACCTACACAGTCAGATTTCCCCACATCAATCAGACTTTACCAGAAATCTGCACCATGGACAGAGTAACACCTGGATAGAAGGCATTTATTTTTCTATACCTTTTTCAAAGGTAGTGCTCTGGGCCTGTCCATGTACTCCTGGCTGAGATCCCGGAATTTCTCTAGTTCCCACCAATCACTGGGTATGGTCATTCGGCTTTTCCTCCCACCCTGGAAAACATGGTGTCAGCTTCCTGTGCCTGTGGTAACAAAGTATCACCGATTTAGTGGCTTAAAGCTCAACAGATGTATTAGCTGACAGTTCTGTAGGGCAGAAGTCTGACATGCAACTCAGTGAGCTAAAATCAAGGTACTGGCAGGGCTGCCTTCCTTTCTGGAGGCTGTTCCCTTGCCCCGTGTTCATGCCAGCAATGGCAGGCCGCCTCTATTCATCGCGAGTAACCAGGCTTTAGTCCATCTTCAAAGCCAGCAATGAACTTGACTCCTTCTCATGTCATATCACTCAGAACTCATCGTCTGCCTCCCCTGTTAGAACACTTGTGATTACATTGTGCCCATCTGGATAAACCAGGATAATCTCCCTATTTTAAGGTGAGAAGATGAGCAACTTTAATTCCACCTTCAGCCTCAATTTCCCTTTGCCACATAAGGTGCCACATTCACAGGTTGCAGGGATTAGAATATGGACATCTCTGGCAGCAGGAGGAGTGACATTATTTTACCTATGACAGTCATTGAATGTTTTTCCCACGCATCACCATTTCATTCAACTTAGAGATGGTTTTAGCTGCTTTGCATAAAGAAATGTTCATTGTTAGAGTTTTCTTTTGTATGAAAAGTTGTAGAGGCCTTCCCTTGGTCACTGGAAGAGTGTAGAATTAAGGGATTTTTTTTTCTTTTTTGTCTCTAGAATTTAGTCATCTTGTAACTGAAAGTTTGTGCCTTTTGACCAACATCTCCCCAATTCCTGCCCACCTGTCCCTGGTAACCATTGTTTTACCCTCTTTAACTATGAGCTCCATTTAAAAAAATTCTACCTGTAAGTGAGATCACACAGTATTTGTCTTTGTGTGTATGACTTATTTCACTTAGCATAATGTCCTCCAGGTTTAGCCATGTTGTCACAAATGACAGGATTTTCTTTCTTTAAGGTTGAGTAATAATCATATATTCATATATAATGCCAGGTGGGTACTAGATTCATCAGAGGATCACTTTACAAGTTATATCAATGTCTAATCACTATGTTGTAGACCTAAAACTTATATAATATTGTATGTCAACTGTAATTGGAAAAAAAAATTTCAAGAAAAAAAAGAATTTGCTGTATTTCTCCACCCAGAACATGGCCTTCCAGATTAACCATAGCTTCCACCTCTATAAGTTTCCTGTACCTTTGAGGCCTGGCACAACTATAGGGGCAGATAAAAACCTGGAGAAGGTCCTGTCATGCAGAAAAGCCTACATTTTTCTCTCTTAGTTCAAAGTATAAAACAATGTGTACTGATACTGAGCAACAAAAAGTATTTTGTCTGGCTCCGCTTCTGATTCATTCATATAACTCAAACTTTTTCCTGGTTTCATTCAAAGTCAATTGCAACCTGATGACCATATAGCCAAACCTAAGCCCTCAGAATTGGTTCAAATGGCTAGGGAAAAAAACAAAGAAACAAAAAAAGACAAAAAAAAAACCAAAAAACACCTTGCATGAGGATGTTGATACTGTAAACTAAATCAGAGTACTCAGCTGGAGAAGTTTTTGCCCCCAGAAGATAATTGGCAATGTCTCGAGACACTTTTGGTTGTGAAAATCAGAAAGGTGCTTTGGGCATCTAGTGGGTAGAGACCAGGGATGCTACTAAACATCCTACAATACACAGAAATGACCTTCAAGACAGAATTATGTGGCCTCAAATGTCGATAGTGCTGCTGTTGAAAACTCTGCTACAGGCTTTGACACATGAGAAGAACCAGAAGAGGATAAATGACTGACTGGCCTCGAGAGCACATTGCAGCCCTCCTAGGAAACCTGTCTCACCTCAAAATAGGAGGGAGGCATCCACCACTCCCGTGTCTGTCTTCAGATGCTGCGCCTTTAATTCACAGACAGGCAGCATCTGAAAGTCATTCCTGGACACTCCAGCATAATTTTTAACGTTTTTTTTTTCTTACATATTGTTTCTCTCTTGGTTTTGCTTCTCCATCTTTTTTCGTACCTAACGAACTTCTGGTCCAATTAACACCAGATCTGATTGTCTAAAAGAATCTGACTTAATTCATTCCCAGTTCCAGACTGATTCATGGAACACTGTTTCCCTAGATTACTTAAAATCTGTCAGAGAAATCACAGGTGAATTTGCAACATATTCACTTAACACATCTGTGTGTCAAAATAATTAAGACTATGTAATTAAGACTAAAGAAAACATTGCTTCCACTGTGGCATCACCTTTTGCCGTTGTCACTTTGTTCCAATTTCCCTTTTCCATACAATGCTCCTCGGTGATGTGCGACTGGGACTGTGCAAATTACATTTATTTCCCAGACTCCTTTGCTGAGTGGCTTGCAATTAGGTTATAGCAAATGATAGGCACTGGGGTGAGATTGGAGTTTGGAGAAGGGGAGGAGGGACTTCCCCATTTTTTACCTGTCACCATTGTCCACCTTCTGATGGCATTCTAGAACCAATCTCTTCATGTCTTCAGATACCGGTAGCAGTTAGTCCATGCCCCTTTTTCATAGGTCTGGGTACCAACTCTGAAAGGTCTCTCCTCAGAGCTCAGAGGCACCAACCACAGCTGGGCAGCGTGTCCCTCCTCTAGAAGCCCTCCCAGGCTCCTGGTGTGCTCTGTGCTGTCATCCTACTGTGATGTGCTTTATGCTGCTGGCAGTTAATTACCCCTAGCTTACTTCCACCTGCCTTTTGAGCCTTCAAGATCTATAAACAAATCCTGACTTAAATCCCCTTTGTTCAAAATGCTAGTGTGTCCTAACTGGCTGGATCCCAGCTGAAGTCACTACTACTGTCACTGCTGCTCTCACAATGACTATGTCATCCTATAGTCTGTAAGATATATGGATGGGCCTTGTTACCTAATGGACAAGGAGAAATGCAGGCTGTATTTCGTCACTCACAGCTGATAGATCAAGTAGGTGGAAAATACATTAAGACGACTCTAGATGATCTAAAACTATAATTTGTATGGTAAAATATAGAAGACATACATGTTCTACTCTAAACATTGTAAATGTGAGACATAATTCAATTTCTATTTTCTATAGAACATAAAGAACTATGTGTTAGTCTTCCCAAGATCCTCAATAATTCTAAGTGCATATAGTACAGACAGGTATATTTGATCATAAAGCAATGTAAATGGAATTTAATAACAAATGAAAAATAAGCATAAAATAATTCAAAAGCATTCTTTTTTTTTTTTTTTTT